GCACCCAGTCCGAGCGCCGAGGTCTGCGCAGGCGGGCGAGGAAGGTTTCGCCATACAAACACATTTGAGTGACGAGCACACTTGGGGCTTTACTCGATTAAAAGCCGACTGACACTTCTGGGCCAAGCCGCTAAAGTGAAAACAGCTCCCTCGCTGCAAAGTTTATCAGGGCTTACCGAGACCTTTGCTTCAATCGCTCAGTTCCCCGACACGATTGTTACTTAACAGTCTTACAGCCCTATAGATAAACTCCTGCCGGGTTTATCTGCCGAGGGTAAATACGCTGCTGGGAGAGAGGAGACTGCCAGATTAGTAAAGAGAGCGATTACCTCAAACAGGATCTGCAGGGCTACAACCCAGCCAGGGTCCGAAAGCACCAGGATCAAGGCTGGCTGTGGGGAGGGCAGAGACGGGCAGTAGGGACCCTGCGGTACCTTCCACCCAGATGTAATGGGTCAAATGAAGGCCAGAGAGTCCATACAGAGGGAGCATGAAGTATATATCCTTCCTGAACGGGAAGCTTTCCAAGAAGCATGACCTCCCTGCAGTCCTCTGAGCCAAACCCTGGAGCTCCATAGCTCCACGGAGAGCCGTCAGGACGGACACGTGGGGCGGGAAGCACATAAAACAAGATAAAAAGGTAAATCTAGAAAGCACGGTTATAATTACATGCAACTGAGCAGAATATTGCAAAGGAGATCCTTGCCATTTGTCCTGGCTGAGCTGCATGCCGTTTCCTGCACTCCTAGGAATTGGCCAGAGACCCAGAAGAGCGGGTGCAGGATGCCACAACCTCTCCTGCGTCCCTCGTGCAGAGAAGGCAGCCCAAACCCCGGCTGGATTTAACCATGGGATGGGATGGAACCATGGAGGGCAGAGCTGTGGAGCTTTCCTATTTTCTGTCTCCCTCCCTCCTTCCTCTGCACGCTCCGGCAGCAGTGGAGCAGCCCCTCCTGGCGTGCAGGCAGCCGGGGAAGACGCGGGGCGAGGGGAAGGCACGACAGGCGACACTAAACCACATTTTGGCCACGGCACAAGCCGGGCTCCCTCACCTGTGCACCAGCTGCAGGTTTTCCTGCTTGAGACGGCTGTGCTGCTCGCCATTAGCTGCCGTGTCCTTCTCCAGCTCCGTCACCCTCTTCTCCAGAAAGACGACCTGCGTGACGGGAAAGGAGAGGAGAGGATCAACCCCCCGTGCTTAAACCCGCTGGCAAAGTGGCACCGGGTGCCGGAGCAACTCCCGCCTCCTCGAGCACACCCCGCTCGCTGTGAGGCTTCCTCGGGCAGTGGCACGGGCCCAGCGGCAGTGACACCGACACGGCTCCCGGCGTGACCCGCGTCCTGCTCTTCACCGCACAGGGCAGCCCGGAGTGCAGGAGCCATCCTGGGGCTCATTCCTTAAAAGTGGGAACTGCCTGTGGGATCAGGTAGCCGTGCCTTGATCCTTTCACACCCTGGTTTCTGGTTTTGATGTCTTCCAGTACAGGGCCAAACACTTCACTCTGTCCTTTCTCCATATCCTTCACGATAAAATCCTGCATGGAGGTCTACAGGGATCCCAGCTGGATCACCAGAGCTCTGCTGCATCCAAGCGCAGGCCTGAGGCTGGGGATAACCCCCAGCTGCCTAAAAGTGAAAGATCCACATGCAAATGAAGTCATGCGGGAGGAAACTACAACTGTTGCTCTGGAGAGAAGGGCCAAAGACATTCAAGTGTATTAAAAAAAGAAACATGCAGAGACACAAGGCCTTTCCCAGGTGCACAAAATTTCCCCAGCCATTGGGAATGTGTTTTATTCAACTTTCAGGCTTGGAAAAGTGTTGATTTTTAAAAATGTTTTTAAAGGTCTCTGTGCATTTCAGTTAGAGAGTGCAGCCACACACGTGCATTTCACATTCTGCCCTGTACAGCTATTTGTGATTTCACAATTAAAAAGCCGTTTTCAAGGAGTTTTGGGACTGCAGCAAATGCTTACACAACCCACAACACACCCATCTTTACCTTTCCTGCTTTCCCTTGGCTATTTTTAGCGAGGGGGGCACAAACATAAGCTTTCTTGTGCTCCTGCCCTGCTCCCATCTTGCCCTTTTTCTCAAAACACCCCAATAAACCCCAATGGGATTAGCTTTACACCTTCACGGCACGAGCAGCAGCAGCAAGAGCGTGCCAGGGAAAGGAAGTCCTTGTTTCACATCAGGCAACTTTGCTCCTCTCAGAAAAGCAGAATTTGAGAACATCTTCTTATGCAAAGCAGAAGTGAAAACGCAGCCTGGGAACAGCCACCCCTCCTGCGGCCAGCGGGAGGGAAGGCAGCCTCGCTGCAAGCCACCGGCACACCTCCGCCCCGGGAGAGGCACCAGTGCCACCTCCCGACCCCACGCAAGACCTCGGAGCGCTCTCATTCTCCATCCCCTCCATTCGGATGGGCTTCGGATGTCCCACCCGCACCGATCTTCCTGGTGCCAGCTGCGCAGCGAGAGAACCGTCAGCCTAACCCCGGCCTGAGGGTCTCAGAGCACCGTGAGCTGCTACGAGCGCCAGGATAGCGCAGGCGGCACTGCTCTTACCTTGTCCGTGATATCCTCTTCTGTACACTCCAGCGTATCCCGGTAAGACCCCTCCATCACCCCCACGGACAGCGCGCTCGTCTGATGCAACTGTCTGCAGAGACAAACCACCCCAACCCACAGCAACACGCACATTAGCGCGAACATGGCAGGACGTGGCATGACAACTGCTCCTGCAGGATACGGTCCCCCCTCTGCCCTCCTCAGCTGCCACCTCCTTTTCTGAGGGGATTTCATAGCACTGCTCCTTCCGGGGCTGCAGGATTTACAGCCAAGGACAGCATGGGCCAGGTCCTTCTCACCACCATGAGCTCCAGTGCGTAACGAAGCTCACTTCGTTAAGAATAAGAGGGATAAGAGGGCTGAACAGTCGAAAGAACACGCCCTGCGTGGGACACAGACGTGGACACGCTGCTGGGACTTCATACCAAGATCATTTGTTCTTGCTCTTTAGAATGGGGAGAGATTAAGAGCTCACTCTTGTGCTTTCTTTACGAGCGCACCAAGGCCGTGTACTATCCAGCAAAGGACAGAGTATTCCAGCCACTGCTGAGGTTGATAAGGAGCAGGGAGCTGCGGGTGTAAGGGGAGGGAGGGAAGGAGAACCCCTGAACCTGTTGTGAGACACCCCAGCTCACCTCCCTCACCGGCCACGACAGCCGAGAGCGAGCTGGTCACTAGCAAAGCCTTGTGACACCGGTGTCCGCGGCGCTGCGGCGACCTACAGAGCACCCACGGAGGGGCTGATCTGCGCTCGATCCCCGCGTTATCGCTGCGGGCCGGCTCCGTCGTCTCATGGCACAAGAAACGAGTCGCCATGCGGAGGGGTGGTTGTATTCCAGCTCTGAACCCCAGGCAGATGCTGCCTGGAGAAAGCCACTTTGCTCTCGCCCTGCAACTCGGACAACGAGCAGCCTGACCCACCTTTGAAGCCTCTTGGTACCTCAGTTTTTCCTCGGAATTTGCCATGTGGGCTCTCAAATTCACCCTGCTACACAATAAGCTCATGCAAATATTCATGAGCCATAACTGGCATTTACCGAAGAAACCACAGCTGAGTACCAGCCTTATTTTGCATCCTCACCCTGAGTATATATTTAGATTCTAAAGTCTCTGGCACATTTGTCATTTAAATCATGCCAAGCTCAACAGGGCCTGAGCAGCTGAGATTTCCTGGCACAAGCAGAACCCTGGTAACAAAAATCAGGAAAGAGCCCTTACCAGAATAAAATCAATTTCCCAAAATCAAGTGTTTTGATATTATTCAGTAATTACAGTATCTGCAAGAAGGGGTTTTCTTTGGGCTGATCTTAAGGATCTGGCTCTACTCTGCAGCAAAACCCTGTTATCTCTCTCGTTATCACAAACTAAACTCAACTGCTCTTGAATTAACCAACATTTATCTAAGCCAAGTCCCAGTCTCAGAAAAGCATCTTGCAAAGGGTCAGGAGGGCTCAATCCCCTGTAAGACAGGGCACCCTCCATTCCCAAAAGTTCAAATCAAATCCTCCCTAAATTTGCTCTGCCGGACACAGAACAAAACAAGTCCTAAAGCGGGAAACCTGGGGACAGGCTGCTCCCTTCAACCCTCTTTCCTGCTCATGTTTTTAACAAAGGTCTAGAAAGCAAGATGACCGGAACTAGGAAATGTAGTATCAAGGATCTGCTTCCTTGCCAGGAGGAAAAATCATGCCTGGGGAGACTTGCTGACCGCAGGGAAAACGGAGAAGGGAAAGGTGTGAGAGCACAGTTGGGAGGAAGAGGCGTTCCAAAGCTGCTCGGGGCAGCGCAGGGAGCAGACCGAGTGCCAGGGCACAGGGGTACGAGCAAATGAGCTGCCCGTTCCTCTGCAGCATCCCTGCCCTGCTCGGAACCGAGCAGGGAAAGCCAAAGACTGGAGAGGGCAAACTCCCTCCTGAGCAGGGCAGAGACAGGCAGGACAGCTAAGGTAAGCCTCAGGATGTTTCTAAAAGCACGGTCACAGAGGAACAGGAGGGATGGCGAAGCTGGGAAAGGAGTCATGGAGAGGGGATGGACGCTCTACCCGAGTGGTTCAGAGCTAATTGCAGCTTTTCCTGTGCAGTCAGGGATGAAAATGCACACAGAGACAGGGTGACTGGCACCCCATGAGCCGGTGACACAGGACAGAAGCGGCACAGAGCAGGGGAGTTACCTGCAGCCATCCCTCAGAACTCCCCAAAGCCCCTGACCCCACAGGGAGGGCTGCTCCTGCAGAATCAAACACTGAGGATTGCACTGGGCAAAGCAAAACAGAACCGAGGGAGTTGTCTAGGGTGGCTGCCTTTTTTGGGGTGCTGGAGAAAGCCCTTGACTCGTCTGGTCTTCTAGAGACACACCACGGTGACACCAGGGAGGCGGCAGCCCAGCCAAGCAGTCCATCATGCCCTTCTAGAGACCCCTTCCCTACTCCACATGCCCCCGGCGAGGGCACTGGCAGGGTAGAGCGGGTAAGCACCCCTAATTTTGTCCTGGAAGAAATCAGGTTGACACCAGCCTCTAGCCGCATGCACATGTGAGAAACCCCCATTTCAGAAAAATTGCTATTGCAAGCTATATCAGAATTAAACCTGCTTCTCCCCAGCGCTATACAACACGTCCAGGAGCACGACACTGCAAACTTAATTTGACAACCTTCCTTCCACGGGCCCAGCAGCTGGCAAGGGCACCTCCTCTCACCAAGCAGTAACAGGAATATGAGCTTACCTTGCCACCTTCTTGCTCGAGAGTCTTTTATTTGGACTGCAAAATGAAGAAAAAACAGGAAAGAGTTAGGAAAGCTGACAGCGGAGAGCAAGGGAAACAGGAAACGGCAAGCACTCCAGGGCACGTCCTTTGCTATGGCAGGGGAGCGCCCATGCGGCATGCACAGCCCGGCCACCCCCGGTGAAAGGCAGGCGAAGAAACCGCTCCGTACGTAACGACGCAGCACTAACGCACCAAAGGGAATAACGCCGCCGGGACCCTCACCGCCTCCAGCAGCGGTATCCTCTCGTCAACTGATCCCTGTCCTGAAAGCTGATCCCTGAGGAAAAGTGCTAATAATAGCAGTGAGTTTGGTGGGCTTCAGCTCGGTGCTGATGGCAGGCTGAGCTGCGCCTCCCACGCGCCCCCAGCCCTTCCTGCCACCCCCTCGGAGCTCCCTGCCCCGCGGCTGGGGGACGGGGTGCACCTCCCGCCTGCAACAGGACCTCCATCCCTCCGCACGCTGGGCTGCGCTTCTCACAAAGATCACCCTCGCTATTTGCCTCCAGATCACCGGAGAATTGCTGCCCACGTGTCACTCAGATTTTAGGAGCTGTTGATCGTGTCCCTTTCTGGATTTTAAGCACAGGCACTGCTATAATCACTGAAGAGGGGTACGGGCTCTCCTTTGCACAGATAACGGATGGAGATCACGCACCCCAGCTCCGTATACGCCCGAGCCAGCTGCCTCCATACCACAGCGGTCAGGGTGTAGCTAATGCTCAGCGCAACCCACAGCCCAAACAGGCAAGGTCTGCATTACCCTGCCCCTTGGGCTGGGGCTGTGGGCTCTCCCCGCTGAGAAAAAAAGGCCTTTTTCAGAAACAGCTACTTGCTCAGATGCTCCTTCCAGCCCTTGGGTCCTGATCGATGAGGCCGCACGCTAGCGAAGCAAGCGGATCTCACCTGCCAGCCAAAACGCACACTGTTGTCAAACAGATGCCACCGGGACCCATCTCTGACCGATGATGGCAAACACGTCTCTAGCCCGAGCGGAGAGGAAGCAGTTGTGCTCCCCAGTGCTTCGCTCAGTTTAAAGGGGAAAAGAATAATCATCTGGGAGCTCATTCCTGCCCAGAGCTGCACCAATTGTATTAGTTCTTAGAAGGAGGGATTAAAAGTAGCTCAGGACAGTTTTCTTCAAAGAAATAAAACCCAATAGCTGAGCAGGGGCTGTTGTCAGGGTTACCAACCCTCGTGTCAAAAGTGCATCCTCAAACCCCAGCTTTCCAAGGAGCGCAAGAGCGGCTGCTGGCTGGGCTTCAAGGACGCCCAGCACCCGCTCGAGGGGGAGGTCAGGCCCTCGTGTTTGCCAGCGACTGCACCGAGTCTCGGATGTCCCCAGCACCGGAGGGAAGAAAAATATTGTTCTCTGCAAAGAGCTTATCAGAGCGCAGTGCCGGAGGGGTGAGACACACCAGCGCTGCTTCAAGGGCACGAAAACAAACCGTGCTTCTACCAAACTGGTCCATCTCAAGCTTCTGGCAGATTTCTTCCCTGCCTTCCCGCGCCGTGGGCTCGGGCAGCAGTGTCCCAATGTCAGGACCACGCTCCCCACCTTCTTCCAAGTGTAGAACACTGCATATAGGCCCACAGCCCTTAAGAGCAAGGCTGTTAGATAGTGGTTTGGGCTTCACCCGAGCTGCTAGCATCCTCTGGAGCAGGCATCTCCGGGCTTCACCTCCCAGGCATGCTGCGAGGCTGCTTAGCCCAGATTTTGGTCCTATTTCTGCTGTTCTCTTCCTGCAGTCCAGGACTTGTCCCTCTGCACTGACGGCTTCCTGTTGCCAGTGATGCTGGGAGCAAACGCCAGGTCCTGCCATGGGGACACCTCTCATGTCCTTACTGCAGAAAGGGGGCGTGATGCCCCTTCCAGCGGTGCTGGAAGAAGTTTCCAGTGAACCTGTGCATGGGAAACCCTGAATTCAAGGAACTACCTACTTGCCCTGAGCCCAAAGGACGTGTTAAAATCAAAGCCTATGGAACTGCCACCACGACACCACAGGACAAGGAAGCCTGCTCTGGAAATCCCATCCATCACAGGAGGCCCTGAGGTGACAGTTCAGCTTTCCAGGTAAATTTGGTGGAGAAAACCTGAAATGGAGTGGGACTACTGGTGCATCCAGGGAAATCCAGCTTCCTCCTTATAACTGCATAACCTGAGACCCACCACTGACCCTCAAGGCCTCTGACAGCAAAGGCAACTATTCACCCGAGAAAGAGAGAGAAGTACTTTCTCCATTAAAAAATTGAAGGCCCAGCCCCTGTTTGCTTTCCAGTTGTCTTCCCGTAACTGTGTAGCCCCGGAGAGTTCCTGTAACCCCACAGAAGACAGAGACCAAGAGCATGACCAAAAACCAGGCTTGAGAAAGCACATCAGATGCAAGAAGAATGATTATCATTAATGCTGCCATCCTTCCACCCAGTGACCTGCCAACAGGTCTGAAACCTCCCCCCAACCCCCAGCAAATAGAGAACCCTCCCCACTTGCCAAATGCACAAATCCAGCTGCTGGCTGGCCGATCCCAAACACTCACGAGGTGCCCATGTGAAGGCCCCGGCTCTTGTCACGCCTGCCCGGCTCGCGTGGCAAGGGGTGGGCAGGCAGCTGGGGGGGCTGGGTGAAACAAGGCTTTCCTGCTGCAAAGCGAGAGCGTCTGCAGGACAAGTCCCACGGCACAGCGCAAGCTGATGTTTGCAGGTTACCGCTGCAGCGGGAGGATGGGCTGCACCTGCCTTCCAGGGCGAACCAGCAACTCAGGCATGCCTCCAGGCTGGGTATTACCGGCCAGAAGACGCGACAAGTCTTTTCTTGGTGACAGAAATACTGTACGCGATCAGCTTATGGATTCAAATCCTGCTGCGTTACGCGAGAAGCACCCATCACTCAGCAGGACATGCAAAGAGGCCGCCCGGCGCAGAAGGGAAGACTCTCGCTGTCTGCCAGCCTCCGTGGCTCGGATCAACGGACACTTCTGCTCACCCTCCATCATGTCACTTCAGCCTTTACCACACGGAGAGGCTCACCTCGTGCGGTGAAATTCGTCCCCTTCTGCAACCAGGAATATCAAGCAGCACACCAGCAAAGGGAGGCTGGGCAAGACAAGGAGAGTCTTCCCTTCCAGAACATCATTCCCAACATGGAAATGGCCACACACAAGCCCAATTACCTATTCATTTCAAGATCATTCAGGCGAGCAGAAAGATCCTCGAGGCGGTTGATTTGTTTGTGGCACTGGCTACAGTAAAACTCAAATGCTTCATCTGCGATAATGCTGTGCAGTTTCGCAGCGAGCGGATTGGTGCTAGAGAAATCACAAGGGTCATGTCAACAGGACAGAACAGATGGGGCTGATTTTCCTCCGTGGCTTCCACAAGCTCAGCCTGCGTTGGGGCAGGGGAGCCTCTGGTGTGAGATACAAGGCTTGCAATTAAAAACTTCATGGCAGATTGGGTCACCTCCCCCCTCGATTTTAGAAGCCAAATTACAGTCAATATGGAGTTGTTATAAATTAGGACTTCACCACCCTCCTCCCAGAGACTTACAGCAGCGGAGCTTGGCATACGTTTCCAAACCCCTCTGGCAGCCGGCTCTTGTGAAGGACCCCGCACGAGCTCAGGGAAGGCGAGGTGCGTGCTTTCCACCAACCTACATGACCACAAAGTTTATTTTCCAACACAATTCTCCAAGCAACCCCATCTCGGGAGGCTCGAGCAATGGCCCTGGTTTGCCTCGGTGAATGCGGATGACCTCACGCGCTGCTGGACTTGGCGCCATCAGCGAGAGCCAAATCCTTTGGCTGGTGGCACCGTTTTCCTAGGGGATGCTTTACAGACAGAGCATCTGCGCTGCTGCGGACCCTCCCTGTAATGCAGAATCAGATTTTCATTGCAGAGAGCTCCCCTCTTAAGCTAAGATCAGAAAGGTGGCTGGGATTCAACTGCCATCTCCTACAAAGGGAAGCACACAGACGCTGAAGCTGTGGCTTTGCCTCACTGTAGGGATCATCATTTGGCCAGGGGACATGGGGGTCTAGAGGACTTTAACAGCCTGGGGAGCTGATGGGTCCGATCAGCGCTTCATTTGCGGCTGCGTACGTGGCAAATAAGCTGCCAAGGCATTCACCAACACTTGGCAAACCAGGGAGCCACTTCCCCCACCTGACATGAATTGGGCTGGACAGAGTTTGGCCAAGGGATTCTGGAGAGCAAAGAGTTTATGTTATTTTGGGGCCAAATATACACCACAAATCCCTTCTGCAGGAAAACATGCTTCTGGAAGCCATGGAGTTCAATCAAAGAAAGGTTAATAGTGAAAAAACAAAGCAGTTTGATAAGAAAGACAGGTAAAGGGGTGAGCAAACACAAGCAAGCTTAAAACCACAAGGCATCTGAAAGGGCTAGTTGACTCTGTGATACAGATCCACACTGGCAAGCCCTGGCCCGGGAGATGCTGGGTGCGTGGGACATCCCTGGCTCGGCAGCATTGCCTAACCCCTCAATGACATATTTTGGTGGCAGTGGGGTGTCAGCAGCCCAGCCACCTCCAGGGTCAGGCCTCTGAGCTTGTGCTGTCTGTACAGTATTTCCGAGTCCCCTTACAACAGGCAACTGGACAACAGTAAACCCCAAATTGCTCATTTCTTCCCATTCCTGGATAAAAGTTATTGAAAAACACTCCCTGTACCCTGTAGGGCAGGTTTGGACCCAGGATAATCATCATCCACTGCAGTCAGTTCAGTTGCTCAGGCTTTGCTCAGGGTAAGAGGTGACAGCAGCTTTGTGGCACCTGGAAGAAGTGATGTGCCTTTTTCGGGCTCTGCCCCCGTCCTTGGCTGCACGTGAGCCCTGCTCAGCGAGTCTTGCTCACCTTCGCCGTGAGGCAGAAAGAGCTCACCCGGCTGGCTGCATCGCTGGGCGAGGCGTGAACCCAAATCTAATGAACATTAATCAGAACGGGGAGAGCAGCGTAAAGCGGAACCCCCAGGCCAGCGTGGCAACTCTTCGGGTGCGTGCAGATACACCTGGCCTCCGGCTGCGTTGGTCGCCTGCCCGTTGAGTGGGCGAGAGCTCAACCGCACTGCGCCTTGGGGCATCCCCACCTACCCCCCGTGGCAAGCTGCCACCCTCCGCGCCGTATGCGGCCTTCCTGCCTCCTTCCTCCATCTCCTGGAGAAACCTTCACCTTCCCCAGGTCATCGGTGCTTACTGGCACAGCACGGCGCCAGCCGAACAGGAGCTTCTCCTTCTGGTTGCCACTCGTTTCCCACCAAGCGTTGGAGAGAGACTTCTTGTATCAGATGGACGTGCCAGGGAAGAGGTGGCAACCCAAGAGGAGGAATCGCAAACGCGCACGTAAGGACTAGGCAGGAAAATGCAATACCCCATAGCATTCCCTGAAGGCTCCTGGTTCTTGTGTTAGTTCTCTGGTGAAGATCCAGAGCTGTGGCAGGAAAATTTGTCGATGTTATTCCCACTCAGACTCTCGTAATGTGGAAAAGGTGTGGGGCGATGTGACCATTTACAAGCGAAAGTGTTCTTTGTGTTCAAACCACAGCAAAGAAATAAGATCAGCCTGAACCAGAGATACCCTGCAGTTCTTTAAGGTTTCACTACACTTAAATGGACTGGGGAGACAGGGCTGCGTTCAGAAAAACAGCACAATCTCCGAGAACAATCAGACTTTCCTGCATGCAACGATAACCCAAGGTAAGAGCTAGACCTGACAGGCACGAGGAAATGCTCCGTTTCAAACAGAACCACATTCTTAACGCTGGAGGCTTTGCAGGGTTTATCTGCAGCCTGCCTCCCCAGCCAGCCCCAGCAGCCAGCCTCCAGCACAACCACTGCGAGCTGCACGGCCACGTGCCGAGGGAGGCCCTCCCGGCAGAGGAAGGATGCTGCAGAGCGTGATCTTGTGGATAAGATCCAAAGAGACAAAGCAGCAAGAGGGAAGACGGTGTCCTGACAGAACAAGACCTGAGCAGTGGGAGCATAGGCAACTTGGGAGCTCCAGACTGATATTAAAGACAAAGTTCAACTGACTGCAACGCTCCTTTAGCTCACTATTTTCCTGCCGGGAGCCTTCTGGACTAGCCTGGAGGCCCACACTCAGACAGGAAACTTGGAACAAACACCAAGGCTGTTTTTTATTGGAGAGCACTTCCTATGCTGCAGCACCAGTACAGCCATGCTCAGCATTTCTGCACAGTGCAACCAGGGGACAAGCGTGGATGAGTGACATGTCCCTTCCACTGCAGCGTATCCCACCACACCGAGCTCCGGAGCGCTGGTTTCCTGAAGTAACGGGTTAGGCATGCTTTACAACACCCTCCTGTCGCAGATTTAGTTAACATCTTCAAAATTGCTGCTGCACCAACGAAAGAGAGGGTCAGGCCTGACCTGCAGCGCAGCGCACGTACGGAGATGTGACAGCACTTCTTCCCTGCCAGCCCCGTGCAACCAGAATTGCCCAAACTCTACAAAGGGCTTTGGGAAGCTGGTAGAAAACAGGCAGGCAGCAAAAAAAGTTACAACAGCAGTACAGTGCTGCAGAAACAGCAAGCATATCTTCCCAAAGGTAGAAAGTACGTTCTTGTCTTCAGGAGCAGCATGTGGCTGGCAGGGCCCGCTCCGGCCTCGCGCAGAGACGCAGTGCCCGATGGAGGAACACGTCCCCTGCGTAACTGGTCAGCACAGAGACTGCGTGGGCTGCAGGTGGATCACTCCAGCTTTTACTGTTTAGGGGTTTTTCCCCTCAGGAAGTAAGTATTGGCAGGTTTTGTACTGCCATACCAGCTACTCAGTTCACCCTGCACGGGCTGGAAAACCAACGTTTGCCTGGTTTCAGATCCTTATACAGGAAACGCTCCAGCCTGCTTCTTGCTCCACGTACCCCATTGGCTGCCCAGAGAAGGAAGGCTGCTGCAGCCTGTGCGAAACCAAGCGTTGTATCAAAGTCAAAAATACAAGTACAGGTGAGAAAGGAAAAAAACCAATGGTCATCCAACAGGACAGGGATAGTTTTCTCTATCAAAAGTTTCTGCAAGGAGCCACATCCCTCACGGGAGTGGGAATGCGATGCTGTCCTGGATGCATGTGAAACACAGAGTGCCCTTCTGCCTGCTCCCAGGAACTAGTGCTTCTGGGTGGGAGGATGGGCATCAGGAAAAGGAAAGACTGAGGGAGACAACTACTCTTCCACTTCTGAGCCAGTTAGCCCGTCGTATCCAAGGTTTGCCAGGAACCCCTCTTGCAGGCTGACTGGTGTGCAAAGCCAAAGGAAACAACTCACACACACCGCCTAAGCGAAGGCACCAAGCAAGTACAACCGGTTAAAATACGGCCAGCGCGGCGCTGAGCATTACCTGGGAGAGAGGAACGAGGAGCTGTGAAAGCTGCTTTCCCCATTACACAAGCTGTCCGAGAACAAATCTGCTTCGTTCCCTTCTCCGTAATCCTCAAAATGCTCCTCTCCGCTAATGACTGTAACGATGGAGTGGCTGAGGTCCGAGCCCAGGGGCAGGTCGTGCGGGTGGGATCTGTGGGAGCAGAGAGGAAGACGTCAGAGGGTGGCTATCGCAGCAAGCCCTTCCAGTCGCACACCTGCTTTCCACGTGCCCCATTTCGGCAGGCCAGGCGACTCTTCCGTACAGCGCAGCTCGCCCCGTGCCTTGAACACCGAAGGGGAAGCCCAGGCACCACCAGCAACTTTCCAACCACCTTTGTTTTTCCACAACAAACCCATGTCTTTTCATACAAGCTCCCCTGGCAGCTCCAACATCAGACCGGGGGGTAGGACTTGCAGACCAGGACCCAGGTGGCAAGCCCTTGCACGGCAAAGAAAAAACTCGGCGTGTCCCAAACACACCCTAAATATGTTTTGAATTACACTGTCAGCCTACGCGTCGGGCTCACGCTCAGTTATTGTTGTATAATCCTATCAGGAGCCCAGCACCAGGGTTTAACAGTATAACCCCCCTCCCTGACACAAATCCTGCCCGTTTACAGGCAGCAGCTGCTCCCAGCAGTGACAGACCCTTTGGCATGACAAAGGAGCCCTTTTCCTGCTCCTGCCGGGAAAACACCGTACGCACTTACGACAACCTGAGGGAGGGGGAATGCTGTTTGGTGTGGTTTTAACACCGATCTAGAAGGCTGTAGCGCGTTAAGCCTCAGCGTAAACGCCGCCAGCACAGGTCCAGGGATGTCTCTTGCTCCGGAGGGGAGCAGTTCAGCAGAGAAGCCGTCACTTCTGTGAGCGGCCCTTCACGTGCCCAGCGCTGTGTGAAGTCAAGCCGCCACGGCAATACGTGCCCGCTCCGCCCAGGACTGCAGAGGTTTTAAAATTAAATTGGGGAGAGGAAGGCAGAGGGATTTGTAAGAACCAGGCTGTGAGAGCAGCCCACGTGTCTGAGCCACAGGTTTTGGGGGACTAGCACTGCTCTCCTCTCTACAATTCAATGCTAAAAAAAGATTTCATTATTCTAAAACCTGGTGTTTCAGGCTACACCCCCATCTTCATCCACTTGCTAGGAGAGGGAAAACAGGGGTATGAGTAGATTGCTGTTCTAAATCAGAAAGAAAAAAAGATTACAGATAAGCCATTTATGACAAAAACCTGCACCATCTGAAGGATTTGCCCTTATCCTGTTAATAAAAACATGTCGACCCTGCAGCCAGAACAGCAGCAGATCTCTATTTAACCGCAGACAAGCCCAGTCCAGCTTGTGGGCATCTGCACATCTGCCTTGAGAAGCACTGTTACCCCTGCAGCGGGATCCGACAGAAACCCACCCTCCCCAGCAGTGAGTCAGACGCTGCACCCAGCAGACCACTGCCAAAAGCATCGGAAATCTCTCCAGGAATAGAAGGCAGGGGGTGGAATTTTTAACACCGCAAGCAAAACCCAACCCCAAATCTCTAAATTTGGGGCTGTGGTTTGAGAAGCAGATCTGATCAGGCACCTGGGAACCCTCAGCCAGTGATGCTTTGGGCAATAAATGGTACAAGTATTTCTTACACACTTACTGGGGGCTCTAGCAGTTTTGAGACCCAGAGTCCAACTAATCTTTCCTACACACAGCGTAAATAACCACTTAAGCTCAAACCATCTAAGGTATGTTGAGCTTTAACAGCTACTGAAAAGCAATGTGGAAGCTTTGATTCAGTCCACCAGCTGCGTTGGTCAGATCGTGCCTACTGACTGTGCCCTGGCAGAGCTCTGGGCACTAGAGGTGTGTAACTCTTGTCCTGCCTGGGGTCTGACGGCACCAAAACCAGCCCTCACCAATTTGGGAACAGACTTCCAGAGGTTTCTGTCTCAAGCCTTCCAAATCTTTAAGCCAAATGAACTTCTTCCTAGATTTATTTTTTTTTGGCTCACATTTAACACACATGCTTGGAGAGAGCACCCGAAGGACACCCGACCTCCCCAAACCCACCCTGATTGTAGCAGGGAAGAACTTACACTTCCCAATACGAAATTCCCAAGCAAAGTATTTTGTACCTACAGGCAGGTGAATCCGAGGCACGTCATTTTTCCCAGAGGACGAGAGCGCACGCAGGCCGCCATGGCCCCTCCAGAGACCCTCTGCTCGGCGGCCGGGGAGCTCAGCAGCCGATTATATCCCGATTTAACTGTCGCTGAGCTGAACACGCTCAGGCAAGGAGAGCCTAGCCAGCTAATCTCATTTCTTCCCTAATCCACAGCACCCTTTCAGCCCCGGCACTGAGTGCCCAGCAGCACTGACTGCTCACCACAGCTCTGGTGTGCCCAAATGTGGTTTTGGGGTGCGAGGGAAGCCCGGTGCTGTCTAGAAGCAACGGGAACTGTATGTACTCACCACAGCACCAGGCCTGGGTGGTGTGGTTTTGGCCAAAAAACCTCTGTGTGTTAGCAGACCTTAAGTGCTGATGGTTCCTGAGGTTTCAGTGCAGACCCGTGCTCCTGCATCACTATTAAGGGAGTTATTCCCTCCCCTACTGCCTGCCAGCATCCCAGTTTCACCCCAAAACACAATTTTCCCGGAAAAATCTAGGAAATGAGGCAGGTCCAGGAGCAGTTTTGCCAGCAGCCATTCAGACCCAGGGAAGATGATCTTAGCTCACGCTTCGGTGCTTCAGGCACGAGTTTAAAACTAGTTATTACAGGAGGTGGTTGCACATCAAAGGGCACACTCGTGTTTAGGTAAAACAAGAATACGAGGAGTTCCCCCTCCCGACTTGAAAATTATACGTTGCGTTTCTGGCTTAAGTGATAGATTAAAAACTGCAGGTATTTCAGGTGTTTGGATCATCTGAGAACCTATTTTAGAGGTTAAAGATGGTAATGAGGGTACAGAAGTTCTCCCAGGGCAAGCAACAATTACCTCAAAGAGAGGCTGAGCTCCAAAACAGCCTACACATGGCGCAGTCTAACTATTATCGTTATTCTTAAAGAGGAGCTATTTTGGTCTCACAAGAAGTTACAAATACAAAGAACAAACCAACCAGTTTCAGCAAGACAGACCCAGCCCAATTTATTTTAAATCCCTCAGGCTGCGTCTCCCTCGGTTCTCGTCTGCTCCACGCTTGCCAGAGATTCCTGCCCCGCACGGTGAGCTTTGCACCTCGCCGTTCCCACTACTCACCCATGCTCCGGCTCCTCGATGGGATCCGTGAACTCCGAGTGCACGGTGGAGTCGATGGCACTGTCCGTTTCTACTTCGTCGTGCATCTCGTGATGAACTAGTGTGCTGGTGTCTTCATCCGTGAAGGTTTCGCACTCGCTGTACGTGCTCTCTGAGCCCATGTAAGCACTGTCAGTCACCTCATTTGCCTGTTAAAAACACAAGAGGGAAAAAAAGAAAAAGATAGTATAGCTATGTGGTTTCATTGCAGAGCAGGACAAAACCCGTATGGGGCAGCTCATTACTGCTGTGCTGCAGTTCTAAGCACAGAAATCCAACCTCCACACACCAGTGTGAGCCGTACCCCACGTCCAGGTGCTGCTGTCTCCACGTCCAAGGACTGAGCACCGCCCCGGGGTGCACAATGGCCTTTGGGCCCCATGTGTTTTGCAATTGCAGCGTTTGGAAAGCAGATGAGAAAAATATATACTAAATAAGAGTTGGAGGGAGATTTTGTTGTGAGTGAGTATGGATTTGTCGAGTGCGGGAGGGATTACACTCTGCTTACTCAGCGGTTCCGGTCACCATTGCTTTCACCCACTCCATTTTAAGAGGACACACTATTAATCTGAATTCTCTGAAAAAAACCCAAACCACCATTCAAAACCACTGGTTAGCCCTTAAAGCACTTTCCCCCCTCCCTCTAGTAACACAAGGGCACTTTCCATCCCTCACCAGAAAATAAGCTGGTTTACAAATCTTCATCACAGCACCTGATTTGCAGGGACTGCATCAGCAGGACACTCAAATCACCCCACTGCTGCTGGAACAGCATCTGGAATATTTTGCACTACTTCCCCAAATCCGTTACCTGCAGCAGGCACTGGAACAGCAGCGCAACTTGGTTTGGGTTTTTAAGACACCACATTATGAGCACGAGCCTAGAACCATCCCCATGTTCAGAGGAGACTTAAAAAAAAAAGCAAAAAAGCTCTTGTTCCCTGTCAAAGTGCCAGCTCACTTCCCAGCATTTTTGGGATTTCTCCTGCACACCTCCAAACAAACCATTTTTGGCTCTGGGATCTCAGTCGTGGTGGGGTCTGTCAGTGCTGGCGCCGAGCTCCACCTGATCCCCTGACACCGGCAGTGTCAGGCAGAGGGACAGGAGCCCTCCTGCCTGGCCTCAAGATAAAAAGAGGCTCGTGAAAAGTCGTTTGCTCCATCCAAAGTTGGCCCAAACGGGATCACGCTTGCTCTGGTGCTGCCTACACTCCCCCCCAGCACGGCAGCAGGGCAAGGCGGCAGCAGCCTGAAGGCAGGTTCAACCGATGTTGAAGCAAACCTCTTCCTCTGCCAGAGAGCATAGAGCAGCTTTCAGTGCTTTTTCACAGGATTTTCAGGAAAATGAGATCTTGGAAAGCCCTGCATTACAGTGGCTGGAAAGAAACACACAGACATACTGTCCTTGCAACAGCAGAATGTCAAATTATGCTAGAGCTGCTCACTCAAAGCAGGGGACGTGTATGGCAGGACGGAAGAGTCTTGCTCACCGACACAGACGTTGCTCGCCGGCAGACGAGCAGCTTTCAGCGCACTTGCCGTATGTGAATGGCCGGAGGGCACCAGACCAAGAGGGACAAACGTGCCACCGTGTTGCACGGACTTCACAAACACTGCTCTCCCCATCCTGATTCTCCTCTTTGGGGTCAGTACTCCACACCCCAAAGAACCTGTGCAGCTTCCACTGGTGCAAAGCAGCTCAAGACACAACCAACGCCTCATTTTCTTTCACCCATGAATTCCCAGGCTGCCTCAACATGTGAGGCCCAAAAGGGACAGCAAGAACTTGCATAGGTGCTCTGAAAAGCCTGAAGGGACGGATGAAGAACAGCTCCATTGGTTCCTATTCTACATGGGCAGTGGGGAGCAGAGCAAAGTGCCCAAGTCAGCACCCTCGCCTGCTCCCCGCGGAGTGCTCCCAGCCCCTGTGCCAACCACCGCACTCTGCTGGACGGCGGATGGAGACGGACAGACAGACAGAGCCCCTCTCGTAAGCTTGGCTCAGCTTTTGCAAACCCACAGACACCGGCACCTCTCTAGTACCCCACCCTGAAGTTAAACACGACAAACATGCACAGAACGGGGGTCTAAAGTCAGCAGCAGGAGATGGGGTTGGTCAAGTGAACGAGATTCGAACAGAGGAGAGGCTGCTGCAGTGAACGTCATCCCTAGCACCGGAGAAGGTGGCTTTCACTAGCCCCCAAGATAAAAACCAAAGCCTCCTAAAACCCCCACCCACTTTACAAAGCATAAATCCACCAAGACTACTTATATACCTAAAGCTGGGGACTTGCTTAAGTGCTTTACTGGATTTATGCTGCACTTCCTAGAAACACCCGTCCGGCTCTTAATGCTCGAGCAGGAGACAAGGGAGATTTGGAAGCAGAGGCTCGGCCTGCCAGCTGGCTCATGGACACACGAGGACATTGCACCATTCCCGAGCCGAGCCCCGCAGCTCCCCAGCCTCCTGCTCGGGCAATTTGAGAGCTTTCCCAAGCTACCTGCAGCGTACGCCAAGTTGAGGCCAGGCTTCAGCGTATCGGACAATGTTGTGTTGCAATGTTGGCTATGCTTTGCTCTGGGGGGAAAAAACCCCCATCTCCAGCCCCCATTGTGTGTCCCAGCACTCTCAGCGACAGCGCCCCGGGCCGGGCCGGCATGGTGCCGATGGGTGGGAAGTAGCAGGGACCCGATGCAGCGGAGAGGACCCGAGAGCAGCCATCCGCCTCTGTGGATTTACCTGTGTGCCTCAAAGGGAATCCTGCCCGTTGGAAGAAGATTTAACGCCAAGCTGGAAATAACTTTGCTGGCAGACTCCAAAGTAAATGCTGCTGTCTGTGGTTTGTTTTTTTTTTTTTCCCCCCAGTGGAAAAGCTTTAAATTTAAAGTATATGTTGAAGTATTATAATGAGCACAAAGTTTTCTTATTGCAAAGAAACCAAAAAACCCCAAAACACTCCAACCCACAAGTCGTTTGGTTAAAAACCCACCCTGTTGTGGTTGCCATTGCTGACCCTCTCAACATGAAGCATAAGAACAGCTCGAGGCATCAGTGCCCTTAGTTAGACGATTTACCTATCAAATCAATACAAAACATCTCACTGATGAGAAATACTGACACAGAAAGGCTGAATGAGGGAGCAACCCTTTAGAGCTGGAACAGCACATTAACCATCCTCCTTCAGCTACACCGAGGACAGGCAGTGATTTATTTATTTAAAAAAAAGGAGGACTTGTAACACAATATGCAAACTTTTTTTGTATTTAGCAAAGGAGAAGCATTTTTCTCTTGTAATACTCCCAGATGAGATTTCAAAAAATCTCCCAGAAGAGATTTCAAAGGCAAGAGCCCTATTAAAGTTAAACCTACAGGGTCAATGAGTCAAGAGGCAGCTGAAGCTGTAAACAAAGTCCTTCTCCTGATCACGAGCGTGGAGAACTTTGCTATACATTTCATCACAAATTAAGTAACCAAACCTCAAGAAAAGATGCAAGGAAGAGATAGGCAGAGAAGGGCACTTAGATGAGGTATGACCAAAGGCCTGATAAAGCAAAGTAAAACCAAGTCCTCGTGCCCTGGGCAAAGGTGCAGCTGCAGGTCACAGAAGGCTTGTTTTATGGCCTCGCAAGCAGCTGGTTTATGTGCCAACACTTCAAACCCCCCACCACATGCCTCATTTGGCCAAGTTTGCTGTTCTGTCAGCAGGCAGAAAGGAAGCACCTTTGCCAGATTAAGAAAGAACAACGATGATGCCCGTGGGCTTGGGACAGCCAGGCTAGGCTCTGAGTCCCCCGGGAGACTTGCCAGGAATGTCCCCACCACCTTCAGAATAGGGTTGGCATCAGTATCGCTGCATTTTAAGATTTTTGTCAAATAAAACATACCCTTATACGCTCCAGGTAAATCTCAGACCTTAAAACTGGGACACACCCACAGACCCTGAACTGCAACAGGACCCCAACTCCAGCTCCTCCCCCAGCTAATTCCCCCGGTGGGAGACCTGTTTGCCCTGGCTGCGCACGGCATCGACCATCCGGACACATCTCTGCCTGTTCAAGGGAGTGCAGCAAAACACCGGGGACTGGAAAGCCCAGGAGCAAGCCCTCCTGCTTCCAAAAGGAAATAAATGGATGAAATCAGCATCGGGGTGACGTAATGTGCCCCAATAAAACAGGTGACGTGATGGAGCGCCTTTAGGAGACTTCTCCAGCAGTAGTTCATCTATTGCAGGCATTTGATTACACATCGGAGTAAAGACCACTTGATTCTATGTTGTAAATTGCTAGAAAACCCCCACATTGATTTAAAAAACCCCACCACTTGGGTACAAGGAGAGGAAAGACTATTGGGAGTCACCTGCAAGGTCTAGGGACAAGTTAAGCTTTGATCTGTGGTGGACAGAAGCTCTAGCCCAGGGTTTGGTAAGGTGCGGCCTTGGAGAGAAGAGCAAAGTCTGGCTGGCCAGGCTGGCCAGGCTGGCCCCCTCTCGTGCCCAGAGCTGTTCTGGCATCCCGAAGCTCTATTGTCCTTGGCCACTCGGAAGCTCAGGAAGGGAGGTGAGGGGAGAGAAAACCAAAAACCAATTTCCCAGCAAGCATAAGCCTGTTCATGATGAACGCCAGCTCTGACCGCCTACAGGACAGACTGGGGGGACAGAGCTATGAAAACCATGCTCCAAGGACACTCTTGCCTGCAGAATGCAGCCAGAGACCCAGAGCCAGGCTGGGAATGTTGTGTTGTCTGGAGCTGAGCCAGCGCCAGCCCTGTGAGCACCCAGGACCCGCACACCCAGGCTGCAGGACAGACTCCGTGCAAAAGAAGAAGACATGAAGAGCATCCCGCCTGCAAGGTGTAGCACGGAGGCGGCCTGGCCAGCGATGCCGAGCCCAGCATGGCTATGGGTGCTGTGGCATCAGCCTGTCTTGCAGCAGACAACTCATGCTTAAATCGGCTTTGAACCAACTTAAAACCAGGGAGGAGGGAGCTAAGTTGTGTTTACAGTCCCACCGGAGTCTACAACCACCCCTAAAGCCCTGAAACATCCCCCCAGAAGCTCAGCCTCCGAGTGCCAGCAGCCAGAAGCCCATTATGTCACCGAGTGATCCCATGCTGGAGGCTGTCACCGGCAGCAAGGCACCAACCTCTTGG